GAGGGTCTTCAGAAATGCTGGCCTGGTTGGCTGGCAGACCCCTCTTCCCTCCTTCTTTGTCTCATCTGAGACCTGCTCCTGCTTGCCACTGCTCACTGAGTTGTCAGTCACCACAGAGGACCGGGTGCGCCCCCGCCCTCTCCCCTGTGCCAGCTATAAGTCTCCTACTTCTTGGGCCACCTCCCTCGGAACTCACAACTTGTTGCTGACCCAGAACTCGTGTGTGCTAAGGACCCAGGTCAGCCAAGGACAACAGGCCTGGAGGCGGAGAGGTGCTTCTGAGATGCCACCTGGCGGCATAGTGGCTCTGGCAGGAGGCAGGCTGGTCCTCCTGGGCATCGGCTTCCTGGCATGCTGCAGTGGGTGGGGCCAGGCTGGGAGGGGGTGTGGGAGGCAGTGCTGGGTGGGGGGGCTGTGTGGCTGGTGGGGGAGACACAAGCAATGGGAGGAAGGAGGACCCCGCTGCCTACGAGACAGAGCAGGTGTGTCTAGGACAGAGTGTTGTCACATGTGTCTGGCCCCAAGTCACCCCAGCAGTAAGGCTGCTCCCAGACTGGGGGTCCCAGGCACGATCTAGGGCTTCAGGTAGAGATGTGCATGGAGGTGTGTGTACCCATCACCCAGGTGACATCCTTCGCTCATCTGCCTTTCCCTGGATCCTCGTTTTGAGGCTCTGCCAGGTGATCTCAGGGCTTACTCCTGGCTCTGCCCTTGGAACTCACTCTTTTTTTTTTTGGCATTTTGGGTCACACCCGGCGATGCTCAAGGATTCCTCCTGGCTCTGCACTCAGGAGTTACTCCTGGCGGTGCTCAGGGGACCCTATGGGATGCTGGTAATTGAACCCGGGTTGGCCGCGTGCAAGGCAAACGCCCTCCCCGCTGTCCTGTCGCTCCAGTCCCTCTCTAGCCCTTTTTGGAAGGACCACCAGGACTGACCCCCTCGCCAACCTGGGCCCAGAGAGGTCAGGAACGCTTCATGTATACTGCTATTAGTCATCTCAGTTTCTCCCTGATCTCAGTTTATGCCCCTATGCCCCCAGACACACACACACACACACACACACGCGCACACACACACGCACACACACACACACACCGCCAAACTGGAAACCATGGCTATGCCCGCTGCTGAAACTAGGTGATTCCTGCTGGGATTTTACGCCTGGCCTCAGTCCCACATCCTCCTTCCCCCCTTAAAAAAGGGCCTGTAGGTGTTCTGGCCCCAAATTCTGTCCAGAACCGCCTTCCGAGGGACTGACCCAGACACCTCCTCTTCTGTCCTGTTGGCATGATGTCAGGTCCAGGCAGAGAAGTGGGGAGCATGGCATCGCCAGGCACCAGGTGGCTGAAATCACAGTGGGCTCCTTCCCACTACCTGCCTCTGGGTATTCTGGGTGTAGCCCACACCTGGCTTGTCCCCTGGCCACAGGGCCAGCTGGCATCTCACTGCTGACTGGGGCCGATGGCCTCAAGATGGCCCCAGGTGAATGACCACATGCCGTGGGCAAACACATCTGCGCATTCACTCGGCTTCCTCTTCGAAGGATTATTTAGACTTAATTACAGCTTGGTGGGGTTTTGATCCATTTTCCTTTCAGCTGGAAGAGGGTGTGTGCCTGTGTGTGTGTGTGTGTGTGTGTGTGTGTGTGAGTGTATTTCCATCTTTCTTTGCAGCTCCGCCGGTAGCTGGCTCTGAAAAGGTCTAATTGTGCCCTCCCGTTCTCCTTAGAACGTTCCCTGTGCCAAGGGGCTTAGGGAGCTGTTGTGTCCTCGACCGCCCCCTACCCCGCCGGCTGCTCTGAGCCTGGTTGCCCCAAGGTGGGGGGTGGGGGAAGGGCCTGGCTCTGCCGGGGACTCAGCTGTGGGGGGCATGCCTTCCTCCCCCTTCCGTGCTGCTGGTGTCGAGGGGGCTCGGGGGAACCTGGAGGGCAGATTTCTGACTTGGCTAATTACTGGCACTGAGTTCGGAGCTGCAGGAGCCCGGCAGCTCCCCCGCCCTGACCCCCACTGCAGCCCAGACCGGCATTTTCCTGCATCCCTAGGGATGAGACGGCTCTGTGCAGAAGCAAAACTCCAATTCTCTCCAGTTTAATGGGTCCACTCAGGAGAGGCGCAGGGCTGCGGGCTGTGTGGGCTGCAGCTTCCTCCTCCTGGGCCCTCTCCAGGCAGGGGACACGGGTACAGACAGGGCCCAGAGCCACCAGCCTGCTTGGAATCCTGGCCCTTTCTGATTGGGTGCCTCCACAGCAAAATCACTTCATTCCCGCATTGTCTGTGGAGAGGGGAATGACAGTTTCCACCACAATATGGCACCCCTGAGAAAATGTGTGTGGAAATAGTCCTCAGAGCAAAGCTCCCCTCTGGCTCACAACTCAGTTGTGCTCCAAGCATTCTCCTCGCCGGCACAGGCAGAGCTGGGGGACCAGGGAGGAGGTTGGAGAGTGGCCGTCACAGATAAGGAGGTCGGGAACATTCATTTCTTGGACGTAGCAAATATTTCCTCTATTATTATTGTTTTGGGGTCAAACCCAGCAGTGCCCAGAGGATGGAACCTGGGTCGTAGCCCCTGTGTCATCTCTGCCCTCCATCCCTTAGCTGATACCTGCAGTGCTCAGGGACATCAGTGCCTGATGGTGGAGGCTGGGGGCTCGGTCGTGTTGGGGACAGAGCTCGAGACCTCCCCCTTGAGCCCACAGCCCACCTGTCTCCTGTTCTTCAGAGTCCAGAGGCTCCCAAGAGGGGATGGGTGTGACGCTTTGGTTAAAGACCAGGAGAGGACACTGGGTCTCAGGTGAAGAGACCTCAGCTATGAGATCTGGGAGGCTCAGGGTGTCCTCGTGGCTCTGACTTGAATGAACCCCAACTCCTTTTGAGGTTTGCTGTCTTCACGCCGACAGTGAAATGCTGTCGCGTGGCCCTCCCCCACACAGGGTTCTTGACAGTAAGAATTTTGGGGGCTCTGAGAAGCTGTTATGTGCTCAGAGCCAAAGCATCGGGCTGGACCATTACTACAGCGGGGTGGGCTCGGACCCTGCATGCAGCCCATTCCAGCTCAATTCCGCGGAATCACATACAGTCCCCTGTGCACTGCAGGAGTGATTTCTTGAGCCCCGGGGAGCCAGGAGTAACTCCTGAGCACTGGCGAGTGTGGCCCAAAGCAAAACCAAAACCGAATAAAAGATGGTTCTGTGTCAGCCACGGCTGACTCTCCCACCAAGAACAAGAGAGCCTGGGAAGGGGCAGAGGAATCCAAAGGGAACAGCGGAATTGTTTCTAAATGGAACATCCCCAGGATTTCGGTGAGTCACTGGTGTGTCATTAATGTGCTGTTATAAATAGCTCCACTTGCCACCAATAACTGATCTATAATAGTGCAGCTGGTGGTCTGGGTGTGAGGTGAGCACACAGTACAATTTGGAGGATCTCGGTGAACCTCTCCAGTAAACAACCAGCACTCCTGGGGGCTAGAGACAGCGAAATTAGACTAAATTGAATTTTTAATAAAAGTAATAAACAAGCCCTTCTCTTGCTTCTCCTTCTCCATCCTCAAACTCTAGTCGAAGACGGATCTTTGGCGCCAGCCCTGGGGTCTGTGACTTTTGTTCACCTCGAAGTTAGGTTGGGAGTGCCCAACCAGACAATCCACCGTGATCTGATGGGGACTTGGTCATTATTTGCACAGGGGGCATTGAATAAGGATCTATGGATACATAGAAAACACTATATATAAATATATATTAGCATTATTGAGAATAGAAAGGCCTTTTTTTTTTTGGAGGGGGGGGGAGCGGTGTGATTCAAGTTAGAAAATTCCTTATCGTCAAGACTGGAAACTCGGAAACGTTTTTGTATTGACCTGCCTCGTGAGTCAATACTGCCTCTCTGCCGTACGGGTCGCATCTCACCACAGCCAACTCGGGGCCGAAGGTAAACAGCTCAGATTCGCATGGAACAGCTCTTGTGAAGCACTTTCTCACGGATGCTCGCCCTGTGAAATTACGCTAAACTAGACATACGCGGCCACACAGCAGACAAGCTGCGCGTGGGAAAAAGGCTCACGCTGCCCCGTCCGTCCAGCCTCCGCGGTGCCTTCCGCCTGCAAACCGTTCCGGAACTTCGAAGGGAGAAAACGGGCACCCGTTTCCCATCGAAAAGTCTCCCGACATCATTTCATGGCTTCTACACCAAAGACTGTTTTTTTTTTTCTTTTTTTTTTGTAAATTTAGGGCTGGACGTGGGGACAGACTGAACCGCTGTAAACAAAACAAAACAAAAAAATCTCCATGTGGGTTTTTTCACTGAAGACGGGGTGAAGGCCCCAGAGAGCACTGCTACTGCAGACACAGGAACTCAGCCTTCCAAATACCGCGAAGAAAGGTACTTTGAAGACACAGTTTTTGGAAAGGAGTGGGCTAGTCCCGACAGCACCCTGGACAGCTCCTGGCTGGGCCCCGGTGGGCAGGACCCGCCGGCCTGAGCTTTTCTGAGGCTCCTCTCTGCTCCCCCCGGCCATGGCCAACTGGACGTGCGTGGGGATTGCTGGAAACGACTCGGTTTCTTCCTCTCCCGACTGACCATCCTGTCCAGCCCCCCGCCCGGCCCCCGTCCTATAAACACCCAGTGTGGTGGATGTTTCCATTCCTGCTCCTGATTGGCTGGGAAGCGGCGTGAGCCACTCACTGCCACGACCTCATTCCGCCTCCATCCCCGGCGTCATCGCCCACGTGAGATGGAGACGATGGGACACGCTGCGTGGAGTGTCCTGGCGGTCGGCTCCTCGCGTGGAAGAGCAGCCCGTCTGTGGCACCCGTGATTTCCTTTATTCCGAAAAAGGAAGGGGCGCCTCCCAGGGAACACAGTTCCACGTGTCCTAGCCGCGAGCACTGCGAAGGCTGGCAGACCCTGAGGTCTGCTTTGGCTCAGAAACTCAAGACTGGCTTCCGCCACCCTTGGCCGCCTCCCTGCGCCCGTCTCGGTGACATGGGTGCCCCCCAGCCCTCCCCGCACGGTCCAGCCGGGGCACTGCTACTTAGGAGGGATGACCACCAGAGGTGGTCCTCGCTTTGGCCTCCACATGAGGACCTGGGCGTCGTTGGCATTGGGTTTGACCAGCGCGTTGGGCGGGATGGGCTCCATCCGGCTCAGGATGCGGGGCTGTTCCTGCTGAGTCCTGCCCACCAGCTGGGCCCGCTGGCCCAGGAGCTGAAGAGGGTCCACCTCGATGTCCACCCGCATCCTCCACTTGATGGTCTGGAGGATGATTTTCTCCTTGGTGCTGGTGTTCATGGCCACCAGCCAGGTGGTGAAACTCTGGTCCCTCTTGATCCGCGTCAGCAAGGGCACGTTGCTGTCACTCACGGGTACCGCCCACGTCACGCTGGGGTAAAAGTTGTCATTCATGCTGACAGAGAACCTGGAGATCTTGTTGGTGGGGCCCACCAGGGTCACGGTCTCGGTGGTGTTTCCGTACCACGGGTAGCTCACGCCGTCTGAGTCGCTGATGGCTTTGACACGCCCCTCCCGGAGGTCGGGCAGCTCCCAGCTGGACCTGGCGGGGCGGGAGAGACACACGAGAGAGGGAGAGGCTGAGTGAGTGTCACAGAGGCCGGGAGGGGCCCGTGTCTCCCGCTGGCACCGTCTGTGTGCTGTTCTGAGAGGCTTTCTGGTCAATAAGCTCAGGGCAGGCTCCGGGGAGCCCAACGGAAATGAGAATCAGAAAGCAATCCTTGGGCTGGAGTGATAGCACAGCGGGTAGGGCGTTTGCCTTGCACGTGGCTGACCCGGGTTCGATCCCCGGCATCCCATATGGTCTCCCCAGCACTGCCAGGAATAACTCCTAAGTGCAGAGACAGGAGGAACCCCTGAGCATCGCTGGGTGAGACCCAAAAAGCAAATAAAAAAAAAGGCAATCAAAGAACTGGAAGCAGTACAGAGCCAATAATCCCTGTTTGATCCCTGAACGCAGGGCCAGCAGTGACCCCCCTCAATAAAAAAAAAAGTATTTACTGGTGTAGACGCAATAGTACAATGGGTAAGGTACTTGCCTTGCACATGACTGACCCAGGATGGGTCCCCAGTGCCCCATAAGGTTTCCCTGAGTCCCCACCGGAAGTGATCTCTGAGTACAGAGCCAGGAGTACGCCCTGAGCAACTCTGGGTGTGCACACCCTGTCTCCACCCCCTGCCAAAGAAAACAATTCCAAAATAAAGGAGATAGAACCAGAGTCAGAGTGCGTGGGCTGTCGGGGGCCATGAGGCACGCTTGTTGGGGCGAGGGGTGACCCAAGTGTGATGCGCTCATGAGTGTCGGGGAGGGGGCGCAGGAGGGGACAGACTGCCCAGGGAGTCGCAGTGGGGGGGCACATCTGCCCTCTGACAATGAGGCTTGGCCCCCGCTTCTGGGAACCACCCCGAGGTAGACACCGAACACCTGTCATCAGTGTCTCATGGGCGAATCCCCCCTTGGGCTCTGTTCAGACTGGAAACGGGACAGAAAAGGAGGAAGTGGAACACGTGGACATTCCTTATCTGGGGGGGGTCCTCAGCTGTGTTTGGGGGGCTGGGGCCACACCTGGCAATACTTGGTTCCAGAATCTGAGTACAGTAGAGTGAAGGGCTGCCGGGCTGCTAGTTGGTGGTGCTCAGGACAGATTGGAGGTGCTGGGGCTGATTCTTGGGGTCTTGTGCTTGCCTGGACTGTGTCCCGACTTTGTTCTCTCCCCCCCCCCCAGACCCCCTGTGTCTGCCTTTCACCTACCTTCCTCCCCCACTGCTTTATTTTTCATTTCTGGGCCACATCTGGCGGTGCTCCTGGCTGGCTCAGGGGACCCTATGGGATGCTGGGGACCAAGCCCAGGTTGGCCGCATGCAAGGCAAACACCCTAACCACTGTACTATCATTACGGCCCCACTCGCCACTGCTCTCAACTGCTCCTCCTTCCTCTTCTCTTTCTTCCCTCTTCTCCCTCACAGTGATCCTTCAAAGCTGCAACTTGAGGGCTGTGGTGTGTGAGTGTGTGTGTGTGATCACTGCAGGTGTAGGGGTGCAGGGAGGCAGCGCCATGTCCCCCGCCCCAGAAACCCTCCTCAGAGCTTTTCTGGCCTAAGCATCGGCACTCACCTTCCCGACACAGATAATTAGTCCTGACGGAAGCTTATAAACTAATTATTTCTGGCTCATGTTTACCAAGCCTGTTCGCAGGCCATTTGGACACCTTCCCCCAGACCCCCTCCCCCAGAGAAGAGTTCTGCTCCTGTTTTCCAGAAAACCACACAGAAAGTGATGGTTCTGAGGCTGGAGCGACAGCACAGTGGGGAGGGCGTTGGCCTTGCATGCGGCCGACCCGGGTTCGATCCCCGGCATCCCATAGGGTCCCCTGAGCACTGCCAGGAGTAATTCCTAAGTGCATGAGACAGGAGGAACCTCTGGGCATCACCAGGTGTGACCCAAAAAGCAAAATAAATAAATAAATGAATAAATAAGTGATGGTTTTGTTGATCAGCAGTATTTTTTTGGGGAGGGAGTGTCTCCAGCTCTCCTGTCCCCATGAGGGCCAAGGAGTGGTGGTAGAGAGCACTAGGATATGGCCTGAGGTCTCCCTCCTGGACCCATTCCCCAAGGGCCACGCTCTGAGCTCCAGCCTTGGGTCTGAGGGAGACAGACAGGCAGGCGGGGAAGATGGCCGGGAGTTCAGTGCTGTGCACGTGTGTGCAAACACGGGTGGACACACGCAGACACGGGCATGGGTGATACCTATAACATGTGCAATGCCTGCCTATATGACGGTGCACCCATGCATGGTGCGGACATGTCTGTGTGCACCGGGGCATACGCGTTTGTGTTTTTGTGGCCTGTGGCCCGTGTGATGTGTGTCACCTGCATATTCGTGTGAGATCTATGGAGTCGGAGGGAAAGCGGAAGGCTGGATGTGGCCTGCCGCAGAGCACTGTGAAGAGGACAGATGCTGAGGAAAATTCCCCCTGTTGGTGGGTCAACCAGGCCCAGGGTCAGAGGAGATGCGTGAAGGACCAGCACTATAGCCCAGCACCCCAGGAGAGGGTCTAGGCAGAGAACAAGGCGGGAGACAGGCGGGGACAGCCTCCGAGCAGCGGCTACCTCACATGCTCTGTCTGAGTCTTCCTGAGCCCCCCAGGATGCCCACTCCTCTGGGTCAGCGCCCTCAGCCCTGCCAAGAATGGGCAGAGGCAGCCTGGGGAGTCCACCTGGTGACGGATACAGAGAGGGACACAGGGTCCCCCTGTGGGCAGCATCTGTGGGGGTCACGGGAGGTGAGTGGTCAGGGAGCTCCCTGAGGGTTACCCTAAGGACAGCGGGCGTCGAGGCTGGAGCCAGGGTGAGAAACGGTGACTGACATCAAAAGCAGAGGTGGCCCAGAGAAAAGGCATTCCCCCCAGGGCTGGAATGACAGTACAGCAGGTAGGGCGTTTGTCTTGCATATGGCCGACCCAGCATTCCATATGGTTCCCCCCAACACTGCCAGGAGTAATTCCTGAGTGCAGAGCCAGGAGTAATCCCGGAGCATCACTGGGTGTGACCCAAAAAGAAAAAAAAAGGCATTCCTAGTGTGAGAGGCCACCCTGAAACGAGCGATGGGTCCCGTGGGAACAGGGAGGGGGTCCCCATTTAATCTTAATCTGCTGGATTATGGGCTAGAGTGAACAGAGACCACCGTCTCCGCGCCGTAACCATCGGCTTTCAGCTGCAAATGACATCTGGCACCGACATAGCGTCTGTTTCCAAGAAGCTCAAACTGCCAGTCCTGGGGGACCATGGGGGGGGGGGGTGTGGGCTGTGCGCTGCTCTCAGCAAAATTTCATCCTGAGCTGAGCTGACAGAGAAAGGGTGTATGGTGCGTTTGGATCTGCCGCCCGTCTCTGGGTCTCGGAGTCTCTGTCACCATCGCGAGTCACTGCTGGGACCCATTGGCACATCTGGGCACGGGGCGCACCAGCTCTTCTCCAGGACGCTGGAGAACTCGCTCCATGAGGCTCAGCAGGGTCGCCCGATTCTTCATCCGTGATGGGAAAAGGCTACGGATGGCCCCAGTATCCCCCCTGCCTCACGGTGGCATTCCTCCCTCCCCCCCAAATCGAAGGGGTACCCACGCTGGCCCCACCCTGACTGCTGATGACATGGCAATGAGGATGGTGGCCACAGTGATTAATGACTACAGTGGTGGCGTGATAATGGTGGTGGCTTACAAGTCAATTCCAAATTGCAGATTATAAACTTGCCTTTTTTGGGGGGAGGGTGACACACCCAGTGATGCTCGGAGCTAACTCCTGGCTCTGTGCTTAAGGATCACCCTGGCAGACTCAGGTGACCATATGGGATGCCGGGGACCGAACCCAGGTTGGCAGCATGCAAGGCAAGCTCTCTATCTGCTGTACTACTGTGCCGGCTCCACGAGCCTACTTTTTTTGGGGGGGGATCACACCCGGCAACGCTCAGGGGTTCCTCCTGGCTCTGCACTCAGGAATTACTCCTGGTGGTGCTCGGGGGACCCTATGGGATGCTGGGAATCGAACCCGGGTCGGCCGCGTGCAAGGCAAACGCCCTCCCCGCTGTGCTATCGCTCCAGCCCTCAAGTTCAGTGTTTTTTTTTTTTTTTTGCTTTTTGGGTCACACCCAGCAATGCTCAGGGGTTCCTCCTGGCTCTGCACTCAGGAATTACTCCTGGTGGTGCTCGGGGGACCCTATGGGATGCTGGGAATCGAACCCGGGTCGGCCGCGTGCAAGGCAAACGCCCTCCCCGCTGTGCTATCGCTCCAGCCCTCAAGTTCAGTGTTTTTTTTTTTTTTTTGCTTTTTGGGTCACACCCAGCAATGCTCAGGGGTTCCTCCTGGCTCTGCACTCAGGAATTACTCCTGGCGGTGCTTGGGGGACCCTATGGGATGCCGGGGATTGAACCCGGGTCGGCCGCATGCAAGGCAAACGCCCTACCCACTGTGCTATCGCTCCGGCCCCCAAGTTCAGTGTTTTAACCCAACTCTCCTGTCATCTGGTTGTCGGGAAAGCAGTAAGGGCCCTGGACAGTGGGGCAGAATCGGCCAGTGTGGGGGGCTGGGCGGGGGTGAAGGTAGCAATTCAAGATATAAGTAGACTTCAGCTGAGACCGAGGGCCGAATCTCCAGTGTGGTGCTTGGTGGTAGGGTGGACGGGACCAGCATTGGGCCGCGCGGAAAACCAGAGCGTGAGTGCTCAGCCAGGGTGTTCTGGGAGGCTAAAGCCACCTGGGGTGCAGCCCTGAGCCCTAAGCCCTAACCAGGGTCCCCAGCTAAGCCTCGCCCATGACTGGGGCGCCCAGGCCTGACTGCCCATAATTGGGGTGCCCTGCTCAGAATCGGGGTAGCCACACTGCCCATCGTCAAGCGTCTCTCTGCCTTGCCTCTAATTCAGGGGGGCATCTGCTTCAAGCCGGTGTGGCTCCTGGGGTCGGAACGGGGAGAGAAAGAAACGCTCTGTGCTGGGGGACCGAGCTGGGATCAGCCAGGCAGGTCTGCCCCCCACCCCGGCAGGGGAAGGGT